CACACACACACACACACACACACACACACACACACACACGGTACACAGACATACATGCAGGCAAAACATACATACACATGAAATGAATTTTAAAAGTTAGTTTCATGTGTGACTTGCTTTATGATTCTTCTGGACACTGCTGCTCTAAAACATTAGATCAGGAAGGTGGGAGAGGTAAGTGAACAAGGTCTTTATATTTCCTCATTCCCTGCATTGCCCCAGTCACTACATCCAACATCCACTCTACCATGCCCAAATGTATGCATGAATTTCATTTCTTGTGACTATAAAAAAGTAAAATATGCATATAGGTGGTTCCGTCCTAGTCACTAATACCTGCAGTGTCAGCATAGCTTGAAGTAGATCATCCTTCAGAACCAGTGGAAAACATGGGGACACTTGCCTATAGAGAAGTGGTTCTCAACCGTTCTAATGCTGTGACCCTCTAATAGAGTTCCTCGTGTTGTGGTGACCCCCAACTATAAAATTACTTCGTTGCTACTGCATAACTATAATTTTGCTACTGTTATGAATCATAAATATCTGATATGTGTCTGAGAACCACTGCTCACTGCTCCAGAGGACTGAGAAAGAGGCAGGGTCCCCTGGCTGCCTTCTTTCTTACTGAGCTTGCTCAACTGTAGCAGCTGCTGCCACCCTCCAATGACTTTGACTCTATCTCCATGGTCCTTCCAGTAAGGACTGAACACCAGCAGCTCTCCAGTGGAACTGCAGAGGTGTCCAAGTTCATGGACTAAGCAGCTGCCAGGTCCCTCCAGCATGTTGACAGTCATTGCTGGACTGCCAGCCCCTATTGTAAGTCGATCTAATAAATTCCTTTTTGTATTATATGTGTATTTTTCAGTTCTGTTCCTCTAAAAGAACCCGGCTTCATACAATGGCTTAGTAAAACTAGTTTATTCATTTATAGTTCTTTACATTTGAAGGCTGACATAGGTCTCTGCAAGCTAAAATCAAAGCATTGTCAGGGCTATGTTCTGTTCTTTGAACTCTGGGAAGGCTCTATTCCCTTGCCTCTTCCACCTTCTACCTGCATTCTTTGGCTTATAGCCTCTTCCTCTGTCACCCAAGTCAGCAGTGAGACAAGTCTCGCTCTTATCTCATTACTCTCCTCTGCTGTCTCTTCAGGGCACTTGAGATTGTTTTGGTTCCCATAATTCCCCTATCTCAAGGTCTTTCTCTTCATCTCATTTGCTGTTGCTTTTGCTACAGGCTGTGAAGCTGAGAACATGAGAACCTTTGAGGAAGAAGGGCCTCCTATATATACTAAGCTTCATTTAACCAGCCTGAAATAAATGCACATTTAAGTTTCCTTATCTCCATAGGATGGACATCTGTGAGAGAATATTTGATCCCTGGGTCTGGAAGATTTTATGAACAAGATCAAACATCAGTTGAAAAATAGTGTTTCTGGAGCTCTAATAATAGTAACTTCTGCCCCAGATGATCCAGGGAAATGTGTCTTGTACATGTCATTGTTTTTAAACAGGAATTGGTATTCATTCCCAGTAGAGTTATTAATTAGGGCACCATTAGCTGGCTGAGAAACTTTGAAGCAGAGTTGTAATAATAATCTCAGAAATCAAATAAGTTAAAAATTATATCTAGGCTTCCACACTGGCCTTTCCAACAGTTTTACTTTTTAATGGTGTGATGATTCACTTTAACTGTCAACTAGACACAAACTAGAATTACCTGAGACTAGAGTCTCATTGAAGGCTTATAGAGATTAGATTGGGACATGTCTGGAGGAAAGCATACCTTCACTGCATAACTGAGGTGGGAAGAGCCTCCCACTGTGGGTGAAGCCATCCCCTGAGATCTAGGAGTGTGTAAGGGTGAAAAAAACAAGCTGAGCATAAGCAAGCATGCATTCATTCTCTCTCCACTCTTGCCCATGGATGTGACCAGCTGCTTCAAGTCACTCAGCCTTGACTTCCCCTCATGATGGACTGTAACCTGGAACTGTTTCTCCTCTAATTTGTTTTTGTCAGGGTATTTGATCACAGTAACAGTCTATTTTCATGCTATGAGCACCCCTATTTCAACATTTGTCGTTCTTGGCTCAGCTGGCATCTTGGAGAATGCACTTCTTTGTTGTGGAGGCTTCCCTGTGGACTTTAGGTTGATTAATAAACAGTTTTATCTATCCACTGTGTGCCAGTAGCCAAACACCTCCCACCTCTAGCTAGCTATGTCAAGGAAAAAATGTCCCTGGACATTTTGAGATGCATGATTGGAGTGGGTACAAAACGATCCTTGGGAACTACAGTTCTAGACAAAGACTATGTATAAATGCTCTTATAGAAACACAACTTGATTCCCTTATTCTATTCCTTCATCTTCAAAGAATTTGGCTCAAGTTTTTCTCAATGACTCTGTATACCATGTGCCTCCATAAGCAATGTAGCTGGGTCTTTCTATTTTGCACATGAGGATAAATCAACAATGAGGTAAAAAGTATGAGTTCTGGCATCATGAAGACATGTTGTGATCTTGGTTGATATTTGTAGCTTTAATTCCTACATGAATTAATAAATGTCCAGCCTAGTATTCACTGTTTTCAACTGCCCTCCTGGATAAATCAGGCTACTGAAAACTATACAAGGTCTGCTGAAACAAGAAAATTCACAAGTCCTATAAAATTGTGAGTCAACTCACATATATATTTGAATAAGTACACACACACACACACATATGCATGTGCACAACCAAGCAAACACATACACTAAAATAAGCAAATCAGACACAGAAGCTGTTCTAAATTTAAGCCAAGTTTGATGCCCAGATTTGACCATGGTGGGATACACTCCAAGCTGAGATTGATGGTCCTTGCCAACTTACCACAGAGTTCTAGAGTCTGGCACCTAAAGATGTACCTGGGAGCACACCATGAAGGGACTCTGAGCTATTCTGAGGTCATCGGTGAAGAGCTGAATCCAAGTTTGCACTTCCCAAACTCACCTCAACTACAGCTACCACGTGGACCTATTTTAAGTACATGTCTCATCACATATAATGTGTGTGTGTGATGGAGCTCTGTTAAATTTTTGTCTTTATTTCCTAAACCCTTGATTTAGGTCAACCTTCTCATTTTGCAAAAATGCAAGGAACTCAACCTGTGCCACTCAGTGAAGTGATAGCATGATTCCCACTTCAGCTTTCTGCCTTTCTGGGGGTCACCACTGTGAGCACGGAGCTCACTCATGACTGTTGTCCTGTATGTGTCAACTGCTCTGTAATCAGCCAGGGGCATTGTGCTAAGAAGCCATCAATTATCCTGAGTAGTCAATGAGAGTGGCTGTTAGGAAGGGACTCAATTGAAGATAATCCATAAAAAATCAATTACATTATTATTTCTTAATTAGAGCACTTGACGATATAGCTTTCCTCAGCAAAGCCATCAGTGAATAAGCACATAAATACACATAAATAAATGCTGCTTCTTTCCTGCAGAGCTCCTCAATAAGTTCACAGTGACCTTTATCACCAAACATTTGCCAGACAAGAATGTCTGCATGTTTAAGAAAATTCCCAAGCTGTTTTCCCCTGTCAGACAGAAAAATGAGTCCATCACAAGTGTCTATAATAATAGCAATGCTATGTTTCTAGATGATTAAAAGATCATTTAATATTTATGTACTTCTCTCCAGTTATGAAGAGCACTCCTCTTTGAGACAATGGTGAGCCTGACTTTACCTGGAAATAAGTTAGATATACTTACTTTTCCACCAACAACCAGTGAGATGGGACCACACAACATGAGACCATTTTAGCAATCTGCTCTGCTCATCATTGGCCTTATCCCATTTCAACTGCATTTCCTTTTGCCTGCCAGGTGATGAGGCCTTTTCTCAATTGTAACCTTAAGAAAGTCCTTTGGAGTCAATATTTGCCTATATTCACCCAACTACTATTTGTTAAATGTCTGGATATGTGGTGGACACTATTGAAAGGAATTGCTGATGTGCAATTTATATTCCAATAGATAGAAAACCATAAGGCAATATAAACCTCAGAGCTCTATAGCCTCTGGATACATTGACTAGATGGTACTACTCATTCTTAAGAAAGAGATGAAAGCTTTTAGCATGAATTGCTAGCTAAGCTGAAACTGGAGTGATGGATGAGATCACACAAGACCAAGATGGAGTAAAATATTATGTGCAAAGGCCTGGGAGTGAGAGACACTATGGGGGTTGGGGAGAAGAAAGCGAGGGAAGTTACATAGAGAAAGGGAGGGAAAGTCAGGGAGGAGGAGGAGAGGAGCAAACTTATGAAGGAAATGTATTCCAGGCAAACTAAAATAGATACAAGTTCTGAGAGAAACAAACGAAAGAAGAAACAACAACAACAACAACGAAGACTAAGGCTAGTAAGTGTGAGTGGGCTCAGCTCTGCGCCCAGGAAAGTGGAGGCTTGAAAAGATTTGATTTTGTTGTAAGAGTAAACGCCTTTCCAGGTCTGCCTTAGGTGGGTAAGCCATTTTCCACACCACAGTGTTCTTTCTAAACCAGGAATTCCATTCCCTGTCTCTATCCATCTTAAAATA